ATTTTCTCATCTTTCTCTCATTAATCTATTTTTTCGGTTATTCTTCAGGGATTTATCTTCTAACATGATTAACTATTTACCTCCCGAGGTGTTTGCCAACTTAACAGATCTTGGGTGGCTGTAAGTGACACTACACATACCCGTTAACAACTAGAGTACAACGATAGTTGAAGTTGCAGTGCATTGATGAAATACCGTAGCTTTCTGCTCGCAGTGACGTTTCAATTTCACGTTTGAATGAATTTGCATTTATCTATTTAATCACTTGTCGATATATCTCTTTAATATTTCATTCAATTATTTTCTTTCTTTTTCACAGGGATCTATCTTCAAACATGATTACGTCACTGCCTGATGACATATTTTTCAACTTAACAACACTTTGGTGGCTGTAAGTGACACAAGAAACACCTGATGAAAACATCAGTCTATTAATGCAACATGAGACGACTATTGTCATTGTGCATGACGAAGATATTATCATTGTAGACATTAGCATGGCCACGATTTGCGTTTCACTTTTTTGATAATATTTTTTACTTTTGAAACATGCCTGACGCTGTCTATTTTAAAGAGAACTAGTTTTCATAAAATGTTGGAAGATTTTGATGGAGTAATCACCACATCAAACAGGGACATGGAGACCATATTCACAGTAACACACGATTCTGGCCCCTGAAATATTAAATGAATATTTTTTATTTATTATTTATGACAATTTACCAATCATTGCTCTTTTTTTTTGTCCGATTATGCATTTATCTCTATATTTGAGTACTCATTTGATTATTTATCGAATTGTCTACTTTTCAATTTAATCAGAGATTTATATTCGAACAAGATTACTTCTCTACCTGGCAATGTTTGTTCCAACTTAAGTAGTATTTTTATCCTGTAAGTGACTAAAGACATACCCGATGAAAAGCTAAGCACAATAATGGGTAAAAGGTTGCCATGCATTGATATTGGCCTAGAACACCATGTAGTTTCCTGTTTTTAAAGTAAGATCTTACCGTAAACGTTTAAGACACTATTCTTGCATACATTTTGCATCTGAAGACTACGAGTTGTTGTCCATGGTGGCAATCGGCTGCATCAACATGGCCACGAGTTTTGCTTCACTTTTAGGAAAGGATTTTACACCCAATCAAGATAACTCGATCAAGTCGTGAACATGTTTGTAACAGAAAACAAAATCTGGAGAATACATTTGCGCGTAAGCTCGAGCGATGTTCTGGAAATCTAAGAAAGTTATCTTCATCTATCCATTTCAAATTGTTATGAATGCGTGTTTAGTTATGTCTAACCCTATCTTTCTATTGATTTCTTAATTCGTTTACATACCTATCTTTTAATTGCCTTCGTATTTTTGTTATTAATCATTTATTCAGGCATTTATCTAAAAACATGATTGCTTCCTTACCTGATGAAGTGTTTTCTGACTTAGAAAGTATTTATGGGCTGTAAGTGACACAAAACTAAGTATAATTATATATGATAGAGTAACACTTTTCCTCCTGGCCCATGGGCAGCCAATGCTGGTCTTAGCGCGCCGGCTTATAAAACACCAAAAAAAAATTGATAATTCTATATATTTAATTGATTTCTTTTATAAGTTGTGCATTTATTTATTTTATTCGTGCATTAGTTTTTATTGATCCTTTTAATACATTTACTCATATATCTGCCTGTTTTACTCAGGCTTTTATACTCAAACATGATTACCTCTCTAACTGATTAAGTGTTTGCCAACTTAACAAACTCTGGCTGTGAGTGACACCAGACAAACCTAACACAATAAAAAAAATATGATATCAATTTCTAAGACTAAATTTATTTGTCCGTTTTACGGCTATCAGTTAACCCCATTGAGACCCTCTTATCTAGGTTTTTAACATTTTTCGAGAGAAAAACTGAACATTTTGCCAAGAGAACTTGCTTTCTTAAAGTTTTCTCGAGAAAAGATTTTTGTATGTAATCACTGCATTCAGTGCTCCACATTTTTTAAAACATCGAGGGCTTACCGTGACACCTTGACGAGCATAGTTCCAGAGATTTAAAGATGTGGTTTTACCCATCTAGTTTTATCATTAATTAGTTTAAATTAGTCATGTCTCAATTTTTTTATTTATTTACGTATTTCAATATTAATGTCTCTCTTCATCAATATATTTTTCAATTGCTTGTTTCATCAGGGATTTATCTTCCAACATGATTGCTACTTTACCTGATGAAGTGTTTTCCGACTTAAGAATCATGGATAGCCTGTTAGTAGCATAAACTCTTAGCTAAACAAGCTAAGCGTAGCAATAGACAAAATAATGTTATGCATTGATATTGATAGTTAACCATTTCTAGAGCTAGATATTCTTGCTGCAAGCCGTGGAGAAACAATTGAAATAATGTTGCATGAGAAGAGAACTGAATGTTTCGAGTAGACCACGAGCAATTGATGTTCTCTTCAAGTTGTTCATGAAGGTGACTAACTGTGTTAATATGGCCAAGGTTTTTGCTCCACTTTTACGAAGGGACTTTTTACTTAGTCATATTTACTTGACTTGCAAATATTTTTGTAACATGAAGAAAGAATATCTTATAAAGAGAAAAAAGTTTCCTTTGTAGTTTCCGAAGGGTGAATTTAAGCTTCGTCTTCATACACTATCTCAAGCATTCGATTTAGTTGTTAAATAAAAGTCTTCTTTCATTCAGGGATTTATCTTCAAACATGATTACATCGCTACCTGTCAATGTGTTTGCGAACTTAACAAAGCTTATGTGGCTGTGAGTGATACAAGTCTCGCCCGATTAAAACTAACACAAAATTATGAATGGACCTGCAGAACATTGGCATTGATAAGATAAATTTCATTTTTATTAAGATAGGGAATTTTTTACGGTACCGTTGCAGCTAAAGTATCAGAATTGCACACATTTCATTTGTGTGAGAGGCCATGAGCAGTTGATCTGCTATTGATGTTGCCTATGTTGGTACCCAGCTGCATCACACCAGTTATAGTTTATGCTTCACTTTTATGAAATCATTTTTTACTTTACCATTATTTCTTAGGTTTTGAAAATTGTAATAAGATAACTGAAAACGTTACTGAATAAACTTCCTTCAAATAGTACCGAGGGGGAGGGGTACTTCCTAGTTATAAGCTGATAGGGCAGTGCGTCTGGATGGGGTCGCGTTTTCACGACTGGATTCAAAAGAGTTACTAGAATGGGGTCTCACATTTCCGGGATGTTGAGGGAGGGGGGG